ATCTAAAAGTTGAAAATGCATTCTCTAATGTAGATCAGACCACTAGTTTCAACGCTTTAGTGTAGCTGATAAAGCCAATGCGATTTATGAAAAAATTCGGTCCACTGTTTGTATTCTCAGTCTGACTGAGTTTTAAATCCAATGATAGAGAACAATCAATAAAATATCATTTCTAGCGTACCAGTTTCTGAAATCAGAACAAGTTTAACACTTTAGTGTTTCTACATTCATGTAAAGAAAAAAAACCCCACTACCAACGTGAAAGTAGAAGCTGAAATAGCCAATGAAATAAATTGTAATTTCCTGCAACCAAACTAAACTCGTTATCAAAAAAAAAAATCTCTCACCTATATTTTAGTCATTTCAGTACGATTTTAGATTGGCTTCGGGAAATCTAGTGATGGATTAGAGGAAATTGTAAATTTCAACGCTTCATCTCTCTTTTTTTTGAGATTTTTTTGGGTTCAACAGTTCAAATAAGTACATCGTAAGCAAAAATAACAGTAGCAGGATATCCTTGTGAATAAGATGCTCTTATTGCAGAACATTAGGTTTTAGCAATGACACATTTACGGCAATCTATTTAGGTTTGCATAATTATGTCTCCATTCCTATATGGCATGCGAGATATCGATGTTGACTACAATAAGTGCTGTAAAACGAAACTAGATCTAGACTTCAGGATACTGAGACCAATAAGTCATTTCTAACATCAAACAGTTCAACATCTTCAAAAAAACACGCTTTCCAAACGTTGCCTCTGCAGCTCTCTACAAATCGAGTGCTATAGAAGCTTTTACTTCCAGCAAATACTCATGACCTCAATATCGTAAAGCATTCTTCGTTTATAGCTACCTCTTTAACCTTATCAATCACAACCATCGTAGCAATTTTCACTCACGTTTTTCTTGTCAGACATCACTTTGATTTGACATAAAACTAACCCACAAAAAAAGTCAAGAAAACCTCGACTTCACTTTATTATTTCTTGTGACTTCATTCTAGTATATAGCAACGCCTTTCCAAAAAATGAGCATTGATATGACCATGCAAAAGGCACTACAAATTCGTGAAAAAAAATTTTTTTTGCTTTATCATGTGATTGGCAATTTTATCCGTTCACATCTGCGAAAATGCCTTAGAGGCACCTAAAAATCATGTCTTACTTACCTTTCACTGAAAATAGTGAAAAAGAAGTCCGGTGATATTAACGATATTGATTTGCATTTGAAATCGTTGTTTGCATTTTTTCTCATGTATTTATTTCTTCCATATTCACGCCAACCCCGTCACCACATACCAAAAGTTTTGAACATATCCCAATTCGTCTTTTAAGCTATACCGCTCCTACCATATCGTTATCCTTACCATCATCGCAATGCTCGTTCCCTCAGCCCGGATAGAGCCCACCCATCTACGTTGCATTGATATCATCATTATCGCTCTGATCCACCTTTTGGAACAGTTGCAGAAGCCTTATACTTTGATAATTATCTAATTTGCAAGCTTATTTTGCTCCGCTTAATCTTCAGCTCGAGACGAGCTCTTCTTTTGACAGGGCGTGCGAAAGCCGCTTTTTCCTATGAGCCCTTTTCCCCCTGCCCACATGCATTCGAAGAGCAATCAAGCAACTGAGCAATGATGCGATCAACAACACCTTTCCTGCCCGCAGTCAGTGACAACAAATGGTAAATGGGCAACCTTGATGATGATAATGGTAGCAGCAGTAACCTCCTGCACTCAAACGAAGCAGCGATGAAGCAAATGGTACATGGGCGCTTTGATGGCGATTACCTACTCTTGAGCCATGGTCAAGGACGAAAGCTCGGGACGAGCTTTCTATGGAATGGACATGTCGAGACGCAGACTAATTAGATGGTCCGACATTCTCCACGCCAACTGGGCGGTGCCCCAGCAACTCCAGATGAGCTGTGTCTAACCGGGTGACCGGCGGTTATCCTTCCCCTTTCCTTATCATATAAATCTTATATATAAAGCTGAATGTCTGTTTGTATGTATGTATGTCTGTATGTATGTGTGTACGTATGTTCCGAATAGAAAATTCCATTTCTGAACCGATCCGGACCAAACTTGGCACACATACACTACGGGCCCCGGCGGGTGTCATAGGCTACTTTTCGTCATCGATCGATATCGATTTTATCGATTTTTATCGATTTTTTTGCTGAGTTCACCTACGGGGCTGGGAGTTGGCACAGGGGGGTAATCGAGCATGGGGATTCCGAATACAATATTGGTTTTCAGGATTATCGATTACTTTTATTGATTTTATCGATTTTTTTGCAAAGTTTGAGCTACGGGGCTGGGAGTTGGCACAGGGGGGTAATCGAGCATGGGGATTCCGAATACAATATTGGCTTTCAGGATTATCGATTACTTTTATTGATTTTATCGATTTTTTGCAAAGTTTGAGCTACGGGGCTGGGAGTTCGCACAGGGGGGTAATCGAGCATGGGGATTCCGAATACAATATTGGTTTTCGGGATTATCGATTACTTTTATCGATTTTATCGATTTTTTGCAAAGTTTGAGCTAGGGGGCTGGGAGTTGGCACAGGGGGGTAATCGAGCATGCTGATCATCCCCAAGGGGAATGATCAGCATGCTCGATTACACCCCTGTGCCAAATTCCAGCCCCCTAGCTCAAATTTTCAAAAAATCGATAAAATCGATAAAAGTAATGGACGATCTTGAAAACTAATACTGTATTCGTAATCTGCATGCTCGATTACCCCCTGTGCAAACTCCCAGCCCCGCAGGTCAAACTTTACAAAAAAAATCGATAAAATCGATAAAAGTAATGGACGATCCTGAAAACTAATATTGTGTTCGTAATCAGCATGCCCGATTACCCCCCTGTGCAAAATCCCAGCCTCGCATGTCAAAATTTACAAAAAATCGAGAAAATCAACAAAAGTAACCGATAATTCTGAAAACTAATATTGTATTCGGGATCCCCATGCTCACTTCCCCCCTGTGCCAACTCCTAGCCCTGTAGGTGAACTCTGCGAAAAAATCGATAAAAATCGGTAAAATCGACATCGATCGATAACGAAAAGTGGACTGTGACACCCGCCGGAGCCCGAAGTGTATGTGTGCCAAGTTTGGTCCGGATACGGCGGAGCCGGGTAAGCCAGCTAGTATGTAATAAAGATTCTAGTCATAATGTTATGTTCATATGAAGTAAGACAATCAGGGTGAAGGATTCAAGTCAGGAGAGTGCACCTCCTGGACTTGACAGATGTATGTGGACGATGACACCAACAGAGATGGTTTTGGGTCGTGCCCACTGCTCTCGCGCCTCCTATATAATATATGGAAACATGGTGATGATGCACGGAAACGAGACTGGATTGAAACCTTGTCTGGAATTATCATAAACCTCGTGAGCTTGGTCATACTGAAAGTATCGGCTCTCAACTCTGGGCCGGTTTGAGACAGCTTTATATGTCCTTAGCAGCAGATGTTATGCTCATGCCTCTAAGGTGAAAAAATCTTGTGGATTCTTGGGGATGCGGGTAAACTGAATTTACTACAAGATTATAGAAGTAAAACCTAAATCGAATAGTTACCGTACCGAAGCAAGCCGTAAAGTTAAATGCGCGCCTCCGCAGTTACACACTGCACCATATTTCACGCCTAAAATCACAATTTCATGGGCATTTTGCTCTCGCAACCGAGATGTGATGCTGAAACAGAGATTTCAAATTTCCAAAATTTAAATTCAGTAAAGAAAATGATCGAATTGATGAGAAAATCAAGATTTAGATGTTACCGAAGCTGCTCTATCCAATGTCAATAGTTGCTATGCTCAAAAAATCTTGAAACTGGGTTTTTAAATAAAATTCGAATCTGAAGTTCAGTGGAGTAATTCCCCTTCGCCACCAAACTGGTATTTAAGCAGTTTCAATATAATCTAGACATTAATTCTCTTCAATATGGAAAATGTCAGAAACAAAATTGCGAATGTGAGTTCATCAGTGATCCCCCCTCGGGCATTTTCAACGATATGACCATTTGCTTTAGGCAAGACAGCCGCAATCATACCTATAGAGGTTGTAACCTATACGCTGTTTGGAGCCATATAGTCAATTATCACGCCAAGACTTTCGCATATGCCTTATCTATTAGGGCTCAATTTGTCTCTTCTGTTACAAGCTGCGACATTTTGCCACATTATTTCTCACATCTGGCGATCTGATTCTGCAGATAATCAGTAATGCTTTGAGTTTGTACGAATGGAGTAGCAGTTCTGCTATGACTTGATTTTACCACAAATTTATTATTCAGATCACAAATCTTCATTTTAGAAAATTGGTCGAACTTGGACTTTTGCACTTGTATTCTGAAACATTTCAAAACCCAGTTTCGTGATTTTTTGAGCATAGTGACTATTGACATTGGATAGAGCAGCTTCGGAAACATCTAAATCCCAATTTCCTCGTCAATTCGATCATTTTCTTTACTGAATCTTAATTTTGGAGATTTGAAATATCTGTTTCAGCATCTCATGTCGGTTGCGGGAACAAAATGCGCATGAAATTGTGATTTTAGGCGTGAAATATGGTGCAGTGTGTAACTGCGGAGGCGCGCATTTAACTTTACGGCTTGCTTCGGTTACGGTAACTACTCGATTTGGGTTTTACTTCTATAATCTTGTGAATTTACAGGACTCCTAAATTGCAGAGTCGTTTGCACCAGCGGTCGCGCGATCGCGTCGCGCCCGGGCATTTTGCCGGCGCCTGCGCCATCGATCGAGGCGGCGCCGTTGATGCCCGGACGCGACGCGGTCGAGCGACCGCTGGTGCAAACGACTCTGCAAATTAGGAGCCCTGTACTCGCTTGTCCGTTTGTTGGACCTCCATTTGTAAACATTCTGAAGGATTTGGAAGAAAACCTGCTCCAATCGTAATTCGCGCTCCATCGCCAAATCAGCCGTGGTTGCCGCACATCTTCCGTCTCTCCACCTTTCCTTCCGTGCACAAGATTAACGTACATTGGACGAATTCTTCCGCAAATTGCTCTCTTTTTGATCGTTTGTGATATCGCTGTGATTGCATACCTATCTATGAGATAATACCATATATACATCATAATTTCATTCGGTGCATATCATCCGATATGAGAGAGTATTCAGGATTGTGTTGCACACTGTACAACAAACTCGGATATGTTTTCTCGCGAATTCTCGAAGGTAGATATAAAACAGTTGAGGCGCACAAGTATAAATCCGTCAATCACGTACGCGTTCTCGAACATAGTAGTCATAGAATGGATGATATAATATATACCGTTATCATCCGATTAAGGCCTAAGGCATACCTCACGCGATTCTAGTCGCTGCGCGATTTGACAATGCAGCGACTCTTCATAATTTATCGTAATCACGCTTTGCTTGGTCGAGACTCGAAGCGTTTGCGAAGACTTACAAAAGCTATGCACCTATGCACTTGAGAGCGCGCACAATAAATCTGGAGACATCTGACAAATTGCCATGTCGCGCAAATGTGGCGATTTGATGAAATCGCGGGAGGTATGCCTTAGGCCTGAGCGACTTGTTCGTTTTTGATCAGTATGGTTACTCAGGGTGATGATAACTACGATGATACGTCCTTTTGCTCGTGGTTTGCAAAGGACGGTCACCGCTGCATCATTTTCCACAACACCACTAGCCAGAGAAGAAGCTAAGGAAAAGAAACGGGATCGTAAGTTTTATTTCTTTTTTACATTCATTTACAGTTGCATTTTTCTCTTCTAATTAGCCTTTGGTTTTGAAGGTTTTGTATACAACGCTATCATATAAACTTGTTAACCACATGATCACTTATTTTGACAGTGTTTGCAAAGCGGGTTCGAGTTGTTCGGTCACAGAAAGACTCATATGAAAGGTAACATATCATGCTCGTTATATGGTCGGCTCCCAGATTCGTGTAGAGGCGGATTGTTTTCCCTGGAAAGATAAATTTAGTAAAAGAGTACGAAAAATAATGCTGTAACGTGGAGTTCTAATAAGTTTATCCTTATAAGAAAAGGCGCAACCTGCCTCCACACGAATCTGGAGCCGATAATACTTCATGGTTATCTAGACAAACGATCTCTTTCTCAGGCCAAAGGATGCTATTCTTGGAACAGACAGTTTTTTTTAGACCAAGGGGTTTCTCTTCGACAATATTGTGATTTCGCAGCATAGGTAAAGGCTGCTGCTCGACGAAGGCGCAGAAGCAGTATTAGTTGAGCGGACGCGAACGCGGCGCGCGCGTATCACGTTGTAAAACCCTGCGCCTCATGTGCTCTGCGGCTAATTTAGCCGCGATTGCACCCAAAGGTATTGCGCCTTCGTCATGCAGCAGCCATTACTTATATTACCCATCCTGTGCTAGGATATTCTCGGCTTTGCGCATCCTAGTTAACAAGTTAAAACAAATGACGCATTTTGATAATTTACGATTTGATGTGTGAGAGAACATGTTCGAGCTTGTCAAACTATGTGTGCAGCAGCGCTGTGTCCGGTTCTCAGATGATTGTTCCTATCTGTTTTTGTTGCGTTGATCGAGACAGTAGCGTGATACTAGGTTAGGGAGCCTTGGCACAAACTGCCCCATTCTCCATTATTGGTTCAGTTCCATACACATTTCAGCAACTATCTTAAAATTGGATGAACACAAGCGGGAGCGATTAGCTAATTTTGGTCGATACACGGCTGAATGCCTGCCAAAATTCATTCAACAAGTGCAGGTAAGAGGAACTAAACCCTTTGCAAAACTTCTGTATCCCGCTTTTTTATACAAAGACTTTCTTATTCTAACGTTTTTTTACTGATCTTGTTTTTGTGTGAGGCTCGTCAATCAAAACTCTGATGATCTAGTTTGCTGCTGGCGATGAGTTGGAGTTTCTTATACATCCATCCGGTGTTATTCCCGTCCTTTCCTTTCTGAAAGGGAATCACTCAGCACAATTTACAAATCTCACTTTTATCTGCGGCGTTGATGTACCAACGAGGAAAAATCGCTTCGAAGTGAGTTTTATGTTTGTACTACATGCTATTTGACTCAAAAAGGTTTTTCTCTCGACTCCTCTAGGTTGTCTACTCTCTCCTTTCTGTACGTTTCATGGCGCGCTGTCGTGTGCGTACCTACACGGACGAAGTCGCACCTCTTGAATCTTGTACTAAAGTGTTCAAAGGAGCTGACTGGTTAGTTTACATCACTGGGTTTCCTATTCATGAAGCTTTTGCAGGTACGAACGCGAAGTGTATGATTTGTATGGCGTTTGGTTCAATAATCATCCTGATTTGCGTCGAATTCTTACCGATTATGGCTTCGAGGGTCATCCATTCCGCAAAGATTTCCCACTCACTGGATACAATGAAGTGAGCACCAAGATGCACTGGAGCATATGTTACGGAGAATTTTGTCTTTTAGGTACGATTCGATCCTGAACTGAAGCGCATCGTTTATGAGCCTACGGAATTAGCTCAAGAGTTCCGAAAATTCGATTTAGAAACCCCATGGGAGATATTTCCGGCTTTCCGTGAGAAGTCGATGACTAGTGGGTACGAAAAGATACCCTTGCATAAGGAAGACCAGGAAGAGAAAAAACCGGAAGCAACAAAGTAGTCCTGGTTTAGTTTTTTTGTGAATAGACTAGATAAAATGTGCAGCCAACAAATTGTAGTTTATGAACCTGACAAAAAGCACCTCTTTATTGATGCATTATAACACACATGCTCAATAAGGCAAGTGAAAGCGTGAACGGAATTTTATTCTAACAATAAGAGAAAGTGGAAACTCAGACACGCAGTAAGTCTATACTGTATATTCAATGTTTTAAAATCTCTGCTGTATATTTCTTCATACCCACAATCTTCAGCTTTCACTGTTACCACTGACGCTTTGGTTTTGCGACTAAGGTGTCCTTATCAAGTAACGGTGCGGGCTCTCTATAGGCTTCAGAGTGCATCGTTTTGCCCGTCATTTCCAATATTGCTTTGGCTTCCGGATCCTGAAGATTTTGTAGATAACGCTCCTGATGATTATTGTCTGCAACCAACCTTATCTATCACCGATTTTTCATTTCGAACAAATTCGTCATCTTGTAGAGGCGCTCTTGGTTTTTCTCCCACGCGCCAAACTTCCACATCTCTGCACTTTTTAATATGTAACCCTTAATCAAATCAAAAACTTTAAACTATACTTGATCACAAAGTGATCCGATCCAGACAGGTGACACTTTTCGAATGAACTTATGTTTGCGAGTGTAATTCCCTCCCCATACTCCTCGTGTAGGAAAAACGGCCAGATGTTTTCGTAGCCACCGATGCCCTGGAAGAAACGAGAACATCTTTCAAAAGCAAATACATCAAAATGACCAACCAGTCCATTGGGTAAGCTGACTTGCTGGCAGTTCAGATATGCATAGTTCTGTGTATGACCAGTTGCAGAGTAAATCCGTATATGTGGTTGAATTTCAAAGAGAAAAGAAGTGGCATCGCCATGGTACAATGGACCCATGTGAAAACCTGTATATTGTTGTGTATTAGTACTTCTTTTGGCAATTCTCTTTCTATCATGAGTTACAGCAATCAATAACCTCCTAATTTGGTGAAACGCGGTGATATAACTCGCGGACACAGACACACACGGTGAGACCCCTAGATTCCGACGGTAAGAGGGACGTGGCCCCAAGGCTCGCTAGGGATCGAGTGGAATGGGTGTGGCCATATATACCCGGAGGAGAGACTCCGATTGGTGATCGGAGTCTGTCCCCTGTTATATATGGCGAGACAGTCAAGAAGCGTCATTTCTCCAGAGTCTTTCAAGGACACCAGACAACGTACACTAGTTTACTACGGCCCGTATGCATTACATCCCTGCGACGAGGGAAGAGATGGTCCCAATGATGAAGAAGCAGCGGTGTCCGCTCGGCCTTTCATAACGGGAGACACCGCTCCCCTCGCCGCAGGGATGTTAGTGCATACGGGCCTAAGCATCTGATACCATTTGCAAAGTTTGTTGGCTTTTGGTGTAAACTTGATTAAAATATTCACGGGAATGCCACTACTTTCATTTTCAAAGGTTACCTCTAACACTTATCTTCTGAATCTATTTTAGAATAATAAGATCGAGCAACCCATGGGACAATCATATTATACATATGATCGGCTCCCAGATTCGTGTGGAGGCGGGTTGCGGACTTCCCTGATTTTAAAAATAAGTTTAGCAAGAGAGTACGAAATACAATGCGCAACGTGGAGGTTTAACAAGTTTATTTGAAAATCAGGGAAGTCCGCAACCCGCCTCCATACGAATCTGGAAGCCGATGATATCTTTTTCAAAAATTGATTTGCTCCTGAAACATCATAAAATACTGAAAATGCTCTGATTGATATCCATCTGGCTATAAAAATCGTGCCTCTTGACATACACCAGTATATGGCCATAATATTAAGTCACTGTCTTGTCTATCCGATCATGGTGCGACAGGGGGAGCCGGGCTTTCTCCATTTGAAGGGGTCTTGGCTATTTCTGCCCTTGAAGGATGAAGGGGGCAAGTGAGTACAGTTAGCTGATTGCTGATCTTCGCTAGAAAGCCGAGTGAGGGGGGGGGCACACCATATCAAGCGACAGGCCTTTAGAAGTAGCGAGGCTTTTTGAAGCGAGGAAGCGGAGTGCCTCGACAAGCTACAAACTATTCGAGAGCTGGGACCATGGATAATCGACCGTAGACTGTTTTCTAGGTCATCTGAGCCGTGAGATATGAAGAATTTAATCTAGCCGATGTATCAACTGACTTGATGTGCTCCTTTCTGCCTTCTTATCGCAATGAAAATGAAAGTTACGAGAACGACAGTCTGCTTTTATTAATGAAGACTTGTCTGTAACATAGATATAGGGCTCATAAATTGCAGAGTCGTTTGCACCAGCGGTCGCGCGACCGCGTCGCGCCCGGACATCAATGGCGCCGCCTCGATCGATGGCGCCGACGCCGGCAAAATGCCCGGGCGCGACACGGTCGCGCGACCGCTGGTGCAAACGACTCTGCAATTTAGGAGCCCTGTAGATGATTAGCGGCAGCCGCAGGTTTTGAGGGGGGGGGGTGCCGCAGGCCATTAACTATATCAAAAAAAACATTTTTAGCGGACAATATTTATATGAATCAATAGCCTAAACCTCGTAGATTCCATATGGATGTTTTGAGCCTGATTCGTCTTCTTAGCTCTGAGTAATATTTGGTGAAAGCACAGCGATCTAAAGCGAAAAATGGGAAAAACGAGATTTTGGTTGGCTTCTAATTCAATAGTTTGGAGGTCTTCTGAAGCGGGATTCCTGAGGTGGACAAAGAAGGAGTAGTGCTTTGTATTGAGTGCAAGAAGAGGTAGCTTACTCACCGTTAAGATGAAGTTAATCATGTTTTAAATTACCGCTTTATACAAAGTTGTTTACTGCTCGGAGACCTCAGAGTTCGCTGAAACTTGGCGCATAAGGGTTATTCGACACGCGGATTACGACAATTATGCTTGATTAGAGGTACGGTAGGTTACGGTAGGCATACGGTATCTGCAAGTTTGTGTCGTTGAACTTGAATTTTGCAGGATTTCAACAGCGCTTTCATCACGTCAATTTAGTCACATAGCTTGTACAAGTGCTTTTGACCTTGGGTCGATACGACCCCCACCCCACCCCACCTACCCCCCCTAACGACCCCCCCCCCTGCGGCGTGCCGCACCCCCCGCTTTACCCTGGTTGGAATGTCTGTCCGTCAAAATCAGCGATTACGCAGTTTACGAAAGCGCTCTTCACCTCATCTAACTAGAAGGGTTAGATTCCATGATTATCATTTGAAATGAACAAGGGCTTGAAAACTCTTCAAACCCGCTGTTTGTCGAAGCAGGTTGACTTTTGGTGCTTTTAAAAACAAAAAATCAGTGATCGCTTCTATTTGAGTAGGATGACAGGACGTAGGTGTTGCAAGTGTTTCATATTTTGGGATGTAATTGTACAAAAAAATTTGAGAGTTAACGAATGCGATAGTAATTAGAAGAACCAGGTGGCTTTATAATTTTGTCCAGCTTTCAAAGAGGGCTTTTTCGAATTTTTTCGTTTTTCTCCGTTCAAATTCAACAAGACTGGAAGCCGTTTTGAGGGGTCATGGTAGGTTGATATGCGCACAATACGGCAAAGTTTCAAGCAGATTCACTGACAAAAACGAAAATTACGACGATTTCTAGAGTGGCTTTATGATTATGTCCAGCACGTAGTGAAGGATGATGGGAATACTTACAAATAGACAGAGAGCGTGAAATTCAGATATCTGGAGCTCCAGGCCACAAAACTTTCTTTTGAAGCTCCGATCTCCTCCCCAGCGGGGATGTTAGTGCATGTGGCCCTTAGTTCTCTTTCATTCCATAAGAAGAAGTTTACTAATGTTACCATTCACTATCTACAGCAACACTGCATATAACACTGAGCTTTCTTTGAAATTTTTATTACAAAACTTTTTTGCTTTTTTATTAGAATCGACCTGGATGAAGGCTTATATTGATTAATTTTTCTTGCCTCTCTTACAAGTGAGCGCGTCTATTTGCCCGCCCATCTCAAAAGCTGTGAAAAACCTTAGAAAGCTTTAAGGCTTGAAAATATGTTTCTGAAGTTTTCGAAAGAGAACATGGGAGAAAGGTGCAGCAGACAAGCGACAGCCATTGTGTTTTCGAGAAATTTCAAAGGTTGTTGCTTTGTTTTCTTCTTTGATTTTTATTCTTAAACTTAGTCAACGCCTTTGAAAAGGTGCGGAATAATTACAACTACCATAATCAATATTATAATCGATATAAATATTGCTTCATAGATGTGCTTGTTCTTTTCCACGGCTGAGGTGTCGGGGCTGCAATAGGTTTTTGATCATGATTCACTCTCAAATCAACCTGGCGTCAGCCACAGATGAAGGGGCTTATCTAGATTCTGGCTTAAAAGTGAGGGGGGGGGGTAAGATCCATTGTTCCTCCTATCGCAACTATGCCTCCCATGAGAGGTCGGAGTCCAAGACAGTGAGAGGGGAGGAGCCCTAAATAAGGTGGTCCACACCTACTATTTGAGCTCGGAATAATCAGTCTTAGCAACAACACTCACCAAGAAGGTATAATCTCTCTCCCTCTACCCCACATTTTGACTCTGTTCTTGAACTTTTTCCTTATTTTGCTTTGTCATCTCTGTAACAACCCTTACTATGTAACCACGTGTTTGATTGGTCACATCAGTCTAGCGACTTGCCAGTCCAGTCAGCTGTTAAAGACAGCGGCTCGGCAGAATGACAACTTTGGGATATTCATAGTTCTACGTTTCCCTGGACGAGCTAAGTCCAAAGCTGCGCTTTGCAGCTTCAAAAAATAACAATAATCCGCTTTTCCAGACGTGAAAAGTGCTCTTTGGGCGGACCGCGTATCCTGCTCTCTAGAGCGCGATTGGCTTGTAAGTACAGACAACGTAGCTACCGTACCCACGAGCCAATCGCACTCGAGGGCAGGCATACACCGTCCGCCCAAATAAAACTCTTCTGAAAAAGCGGTTATTGATATCTTTTAAGCTGCAAAGCACAGTCTTGGACTTAGCTTATCCAGAGGAACCGAGAACGATGAATATCCCAAATTCGTCATTCTGCCGAGCCACTGCTTTTAAATACACAAATATTCGTATAGCGAAACCAACTTATAATGATTAATCACTACGTAATATATTTTGGAATCGTTGTTTACCCATTATTACCCCTGATCCGTGGAACACGGCAAACGAGGAGGCAGCAGACGGAGAAATTATGATGAAATGTACTGATCTTTGACTTTGGATTGCTGCCAAGTGGCATGCGTTTTGGAACGCTGCCAAATTTCATAACGAGTGACCAAGAATATTTTCGTAAAAGGGTCACACGTATTTCGAAAGGCAATCATGAGTGTCGCGATGATTTTGAGAATATGGCGCCAGTGTCTGGGTGTGTTATTTGTCCCTCTTTTTTTTCGAGCTTGTTATCCCAGAATGTGTCTTTCAAATATGTTGTACTCCTATTAGTTGCTTTTGAAATGATGCCAAATTGCGTAACAGCGTGACTTGAGCTAAATTCATCTAATATGTTCTCAACTCTTGGTAAAAATGCTCTAAGAACGGTCACTTTAGGATTATTTTGCTTCCGCGTATAGACGAGAGAGTGCGTGAGTAACTTGGCCTCGCTGGTACTTTTGAAAGCGTTTATCTAACAACAACCTTGCTTTGCTTGTGTAAGGGTTGTTTCATACTGCCGCACTGACTGCAGCAGTCTGCACTGACCGCAGCAGACTGCAGCAGACTGCAGCTGACTGCAGCAGACTGCAGCTGACCGCACTGACCGCAACGACCGCAGCGGCTGAAGCCTGCAGGCGGAGAGGATAAATAGTTGTGCTTTAAACAAACGACAACAATATATACGTAAAAGCAAAAGACAACAAGGTTTACAATGTTACAAAACAGATATATGCAATGATAGGAAGAATTAGAACAAATACGAACATACCAACGAAAACTATCGCCAAAATTTGATTGAGAAGAATTCTGATGGAACTTATGATCTTCTTATGCGCGAATCACGCTGTTTTGATAATCGCGGTTGTTTTTTCTTCTAAGAAAAGAGGCTGCGACCGGTGCGGTCAGTGTGGTCATTGCGGTCAGCTGCAGTCAGCTGCAGTCTGCTGCAGTCTGCTGCAGTCTGCTGCAGTCTGCCGCAGTCAGTGCAGTCAGCTGCAGTCTGCTGCAGTCTGCTGCAGTCAGTGCGGCAGTCTGAAACAACCCTAATTGGGTCGCTGGTGCTTTCAACTGGGTATTGGCGTGTAAGCGGCACTTAGGGCAATTCGATCGGGCAGAGAAACAGATTTTTGTGCGTTTGTGGCAGTTCTCGGAATTGAAAGTCCTAAAGTGACATGTACGGCAATTTGAGAATACGCTGTAAATACATGAACTCGTTGTTTTTTTTTTGTTTGATCGTAGTTGGTTTTTCTTATATATACGGTCTTCAAGCGACACATAGGGCATAAATTTCCTTTTTGAATACTTACTATCGGTCTGTAACGGCACGTAGGGCAACTCGATCGGGCAGGGAAACAGATTTTTGTGCGTTTGAGGCAGTTCCTATAATTTTTAAACGGTCTTCAAGCGGCACGTAGGGCATAAATTTCATTTTTGAATAGTTACTATCGGTCTGTAAGCGGCACATAGGGCAACTCGATCGGGCAGGGAAACAGATTTTTGTGCGTTTGGGGCAGTTCTCAGAATTGAAAGTCGTGACATGTAAGGCAATTTGTAAATACTTGAAATCGTCGTTTTGTTTTTTTTTTTTGAATCGTAGTTCGTTTCTCTTATATATACGGTCTTCAAGCACATAGGGCATAAATTTCCTTTTTGAATACTTACTATCGGTCTGTAACGGCACGTAAATTTGATCGGACAGGGAACAAATTTTTTGTAGGTTGATTGACGGTCTTTAGGTGGCTCACTAGTGTGCTTTTCGGGGAGTGATCTCCTTTTGTAGTAAAACTTCATATTCCTTTGGCGAAAAAATTGAGGGATTCTCTGTAAAAGTCCTTGCACGATTGATTTCGTGACTGTCGGAATTGATTCTGAGAGGAAAGGTTTTTTTTTTTCGGGGAGGGGAGGGGGTGATAATCTGAATGTCTCTGAGAGGAGGGGAAATTTGCAGAAAGAGCGTGGTAAACGAGAGGAAAATAATAATCTCCATGCATTGTTGTAGCAAGAATTTCGAGAAATGCTGAATGATTTGTGGAGATTATTGCTTCTTCGAGCAGTTCTCCTTTTGTAGAATGCTTTTCGCAAAAAAGTTCTCAGGAAAGGAATAAGAAACTCAAAAAGTATTTATAGTCACAACTAAGCCCTTATATTGTATCTGCCCCGACCCACTTGCTAGCGACCCGTAGGCAACCTTCTACGGTTTCCAAAAATTTCTGGACCTGTAGTTCTAGCGAGTTTGCCGGTAAAATTTTGAGAAAAGGGCGTGGCAGCAGACTCCCCCTCCTCACAGAAGATTTTGTTGATTCATGTGTCATTTGCACGACTTTAGAACTCATGTAGACGCTTTCAAAAATTCGAAACTGGCTTCAAGTCCCCCGCAGTCAAGTGATCAAAGATGCCCACGCACATCTATCGCAACAATGGTCACGAAGGGCAATGGGCTATATGCCGCCAAAACTTGAAGTCCCGAGCGGACATCTGCAAATACGCACCTCTTGCCTGCGCGGGACCTTTCCTTTCGTGCCTAACCGCCCACGAACATTAATGCTCGACGTACAACGCGGGCTAGATTTTACGTTGCTTGTAACGGGTCGTCGCACGACTGGGCGACATCGCGGAGCACACCACGCGAGCTAGAAACATTAGGGAAGCAGGGGTGCCCAATACTTGTGGGTGTCAATTAGAAAGCGACGCGACGTTACAGTAACCCGAGCGAGAAGCAGCAGGAGCAGAGGAAATGTCCTAGAGGAATGTTTGGGGGTCACTTTGTTATAAAGAACAAAAATTACATATTTCGTGACTACCCTAAAATCCGTCATATAAGATCGGCTCGCAGTAAAGACCGCCTCGCCGATAAGACCGCAAAAGTGCTCTCAGTTAAGTCCGCTTTCGTGACAGCCTCGCGCGCCTCGCGCGCCGCCAAGTCCCGCGGATAAGTCCGCCTTATTTTTTTCACATGAAAACAAGAAGGATGCGCAATTGCGCTGCCTTTTTTGCTCTCAGAATGAACCGAAGCAACAGATCTTTATTCAGGTAGCATTCCATGTTCATAACAAACATTCATGGCAACAACTTGACCAAAAGAACGACCATCATTATCGTTATTATCAGCAACAATCAAAGCGTCGAAATCCTCGTTCATGCCTTCTATTATTGATTCGTCATCGAAAGCCTTGGTGAAACTGTTCGCAATGGTTTCTTCGCCTCAGAGATAAGTTCTTTCTTTTCATAAAGCCTTTGCACCACATCGCCGATGCCCTGAAGTCCTGGTGGCCAGATTCCCGCGCTAGCTGCAATGCCTTCTCGCGAATGTCTTTGACAAGCACTACTCGGCTTCCTTCTCGCGTCTGCACAATCCATGCATAGAGAGCTTCCTCTATTTCCTCCACCTTTGGCTTCCCATGACGGTTGGCGCGTCTCCTCAGTGGCATATCCTCCAGATTTTCTTTATCGGCCTTCCATCTTCTAACCAGACCATCAGAGACTTCGTAGCGAACAGCGGCAGCCGATGTTCCATGTTCCAAGGCATATTGCACCACGTTAAGCTTAAAAAGCGCGGTGTAGGACTTCCTTCTGATAGCCATTGAGATGCGAGACACCTGAAAAGCTTAAGTCAAAGCATGTGAGACTATGCTGGAAATACAGGGCCCCGCGTGATTGTGAACTTCGCTGAGTTACCGGTCATTGCACACTGGAATCACGCGGAGTCCTATAAATTTGCGCTGGTCATCGAAAGGTTTACTCTTTTATACAAGGAAAAGCAGGCGGCATCAAATTTGACTACACTATCTTTTGTCTTGGATGTACAGGCTTAATGAAACAACAATTGAGGAAAATAACAAGGAAGCCTAATGCTTTGCTAAGGTTGAGCATTCTCAGACTGTCACTCTTCCGTTCAAGAAAGCATTTGACAAAAGCCGTATGGCATGGGTCAACAGAGACTACATTCAGAACATGAAAACAATAGAGGAAGCAAAAGTGTAGGAGTCAGGTTCAAGGGTTGTAGCCTGTACGGGTTCGAGAGATGTAGTGAAAACATTGTCGCCTCCAAAACGATAAGATGAATGATAAGTTGAGATGATTGCAATGATGCAATGATGAAACCTATTATGATTCTTTTCATCGGCAGAAATCGCTCAATTTCATACAGGCGTCATATATAGGAAAAGAACTCACCTATCCAGCGTACGCGATGAAGAATCCGCGACGACCACCAAGTAGACTGTACGACTTGTCGAATCCTTGGGCTCTTTCTTTCAGGCGATATCGCGGCCTCGTTTAAATCTACACTGGCAAGCCACGCGAGCGGTCGCGCGCGTCTGTGCTCCTAGGTCGCGCTTGCTCATGCTCAGGACAGACGGACGTATCTGCGAGACGATTTAGGCGGACTTATCTGTGACACCCTTTGCGGCGTTTTTCCATCGATTTTCCTGCCAAAACTGCAGATAAGTCCGCTCTTATATGACGGATTTTAGGGTAGATATGTAGCAATTTCCATGATTCCATTTACTGTCTTTTTCATTTTTGCAGGATTTGGGCCAATCTTCCACCATACAGCACAATTTGATATGATATAAACCTTTGCAAACAATGGAATAGTATGCCTTGCAAGTCGGCTACCCTCGCAACTGATTACTGCCAACTGTCGCTCGCGCGTTTACGTAATTGACAGTCACAAATAGTGGGATACACCCGGAAAGCAAGATTGTTCTATGGCGATTCGTACTGGTACAAGCGTTTCTAGGCGTCATACAATCAGTGCAGTCCTTGACAGATAATTTTTAGTTCCGCCGCCCAGGCGTAGAATAGTAAAAAGAAAAACAACAATGCGCCTTACCTGCAGATGCGAAACAGCCAAAAATTCTTTGCTCTTGTGACTTCACTACAACCAAGCATGGCCCCTCCTCATTTATCCGCTTGGACATCTGAGAAAAGCTCGATCCATGAAGCTCGCTTGAAAGAATCCAAATAGAAGCTACTATTATACTAAATACGTTACCTGTCGGAAGTGCGACACCGATAAGCCACACAAAGAAAACGAAATGACAAATGACATTAACTGACCTGGAAAACAGCAGCGTCCACTCATTCCTGCGACTACTAGGCAGCTGCATATTCAGAATAACAGTTCCGCTGTGACTGAGCATAGATGGAGAAGAATTGATCGGATGAAGATTTGGGCCTGCATAGATTCATAATCAATCATTTATTGAAGACTAATCTTAATTTTTTGAAAATGACCATTTGAACAACCCAAGCTTGGACGGCTATCGGCATAACCTACAGAACTTGTCAATTGCTGAGTCGGGTACACCAGCATCTCCCCTCCCGCATGGCCGCATCGCCTGGACTCTGCACCTCCTTCGCAAACATGCGCATCAAGCATTTTCGCTTATCCTATTTTCAGGTTTATAAGCCGCACCCTTTTTGCTCTAAACGCGAGCAGACCCAGGCGTGCCGCCGCGCATATGTCTCGCGAAGCGGTCGCCTTATCGCATACTGCTCTGATTTAAGGCCTAAGGCATACCTCTCGCGATTTCGCGAAATCGCCGCATCCTCGCGACTTGGCGATTTGCCAGATGTTTAGAGATTAAGGCATGCGAGGCTCTCAGATGCATGGGTGCGTGGATTCCGTAAATTGTAACAAACAAGCAAGTCTGGCCCATTCAAAGTGCGTTTACGACCAGCTATGGAGAGTCGTTGCAGTGCCAAATCGCGCGGCGACTAAAATCGCGTCAGGTATGCCTTAGGCCTAACGCGCTTCATGATGACAGTCAGTCTTTTGGCGTGTTCGCCTTTAGAGCGAAATGCGGCTTATACACATGAAAGTAGGGTAATTAGGGACTGAAGCTCCGCCTTCCTCACGCTTGCGGTGGGAAGATGATATGAATGCATGTTCGCAAGGTAAGTGCAGAGTCGCGCGGGAGCGGAGACGCTGGTGCACCCTACTCTGCAATTAATAAGCCCTGTACTTATCCACTTCATCCGCCTTGAAACAACATGTGGCATCACTGACTTACTACCTTTCGAAGAGGATAAAACGGGAAGTATGACGTGTTTTGAACCACAAAGAGTCGCTCGGAAAGCAGAAGAATAAACGCATGGGGAAGTCTCACCCATTGGCGGCTCTCCTCTTATAGGTCTTGAAGGCGGCGTCGAGACAAATCTGAGGAGGTATTTATCAATCTCCTGTACATTGGCCTCATGCCCGTTCGGGAAACTACTGAGGCGAGGAGCACGCCAGCACGGAAACGGACCCATATCAAAAACACCTCTTAGCGCAAACTCTTCGCGGTGCAAACATATGAATACCCATTGTTTTCTCTTTCCTTTCGGTTCTCGAGCACAATTTTGTATTTGCACATTCAATGATCATGTCAACAGTTGTAAAGTAAGGTAGGAGGGACCGTAGATTCGCCCGCAGGAACGAATACTTTCGGATTGGAGCAGGAACTGTGTTTAGAGCGCTCAATCGTCTCTCGTTCTGCTACGTGCAGTTATTAATTTGACGAAACTCCTTTTTCCAGTACCAGTTTAGTTCATGTTAGCTCTTTACACTGTGTTCTTGTGTGACCAAGAGGTTTAGGTTCATCTTGTAGGTCTGAAGTTCTAGAGTCAAGTGAGGTGTAGTGCATCAGAGTTATTGTAATTATGTATTGTATTGTATTGTCTTTATTGTATTTTATTGTATTGTCTTTATTGTCAAGTTTACTAGAGGAGGAAAGAGCAACTGGCTAGAGATCACTGTCAAAAGTAGTCTACAGCAAACTCAGCCCCGGTCAACATTTTGACCCAGTTGCATCTTGATGGTAGTTAAGGTAGTTTTTCCTAGAGAGTGCTGGAGCGGCCAATTCGTTCTAAATACCAGTAATTCGTTGAATTAGTATTATAGGACAATTCATAGCAGCTGGATAAGTTAGAGATGCAAAAATATGCGAAGCCTAATTTTCGACTTAATGAGAACAGTACATATAGGAGCCTGCAGGATCGCGAGAGTCGGACGTGCGTACGGCCATTGCGCCGCGCACGTCTAATGTCACTAAGGCAGGTGCCAGACTTACCCGCTTCAACCGGTCCGTTCGGTTCATAGGTCAAATCACTACACTATTCAACAAAAAAGGTGGTGAACCGAATGAACCTGTTGAACAGGATAAGACTGGCACCTATCTGAGTCGTCGGACGCGCATCTGACGTGCGCCGCGCAATGGCCGTGCGCACGTCCGACTCTCGCGATCTTGCAGGCCCCTATATCAAATCATATTAAATGAGAGGCAGGATTGAACCACACTGATTATCAGAAATTCTCATCACAATCATCTGGACCTCACCTAGGACACTGCTTGGGTTCAAGGGTCCGTCCGATCTGGCAAGTTTGGGCATGTCTGGCACGTAATTCCAATTTGAAAATCGGGCTCTGCTGCCCGTTCAGGCCATGCTGACCAATCACAGAAAACACGGTTTGGACGTTTCCGCCTGTCCGAGCCATGTATAACGATGGAATGCGTCCGAAAAGCTAACGGAAAATTGATAAATAGATAAGGCCGCCAGTTCGGGCCGCCTCCGCGGACTATGGTCATGACACGTCATGCAACAACATTGCAAAAGGACCAGTTGGCCACGAAAAGCGGGTCAAATTGGCGCCGTTCATTCCCCTAGCAACCTCCCCTCCTCCAAATCATTTATCTGCCGCAGCTCGAGTGGTGCATTAGCGGCTGAAATGTTTAGCTCCAAACCAAACCGCAGTATCTTCTTAAGGGCAGCGTGCAGGCAAATCTGAACCTAAGCGGAAATCGTCGTCCATGTAATCTAAAATGTGTACAATGTAGTCAAAGATTCCCGCAGGTACGGCAACTACGGGCAGCAGATCTGGAATTATAATCCGCAAGTGCAGCACCTTCCGGTACGGTGCCGGAGCACCGGAACTCCGCGAAGGAATAATACTGTCGCCCAAAAAACAGACACTGAGGCCGCACACACGGCACAAACGGTAAGAAATGGATGTTTTAGACATGCGTAACGTAGCTTCATACAAAAGACTGTAACCACTCCTATTCTTGTTCACCATGTAAAGTTAACGAGTCTAGCGCCTGGCAGCCCACAATTCCGCGCCCTGCGCGTCACTCCTGCTTCCTCGTGCACTCTCGTCGTTTTTTTCTTCCCGCCTCTTCCAGTCATGAACTATTTTCGACATTTTCGCAAAGCGTTGCTCTCCAAGCACAAGCCGACGGCCTATACCCCTGCTCTGCGTCTCTGATTTCTCGCACACATGGCTAAAATGTTGGCAATATGCAACTTTTAACAACATTGTGACAGCTGTCAGCTTTAAGGTCAACATATTATTGCATGCTGCAAAAATCATTTCAGAGATGCAAACCAGGGTGGCATCAATGATGAATGAAGAGATATTACACGAAATGCGCAACGAGAAAACATAGAACAACTTGATCTGCTTTACGATAGCAATGAAAGTAAGATGATACGCTAACTCAAAACTTGCCAACCCAGATTAGATTCAACTTACCTTCACCAAATATGAGCGGCGAAAATACATTCAGGATTAGTGAACCAGCAACGGTGTTCCTCACCAGCCAGCTCTCGAAGCAAGATTCGTCAGTGGGAGCTTCTAGCATCAAGAAATCGAGCATTGCGGCCGAATCGGTGGCGCTAAGATGATTACGACGAGCATATATGGACACTACCCCTGCTAGGGCCTAAAACGGAAATGTGACTTCGATTGCAAAATTTTTCACAACTAACCTGTGCAATCGATCCAAAGATCTTAAGTAACGCTGCAGACTGACATGATGCATCACCGAATAAATCATCAGCCAAGCGTAGTACACTTGAGAGGGTGCACTTATTTTTCTCAGCAATGACGCCAAAGATGGCTGCAGCTGCAGGTTGTAGTTTGTCGTAGACTTTCTAGACTCCACGACTGATTAAGCACGCGTTAGACATACAAGGGAAGCATGTTCAGTATCAATTACAGAGCCACGTGAACAAGTACTATCCTCCACGTGGCCGCCTCGCTTGGACTCCGCACCTCTTTCGCGAACATGCTCTCTAATCATTTTCGCAGGCTCAATTAGCGAATGAAGTTCCGCCTTTTCCACGCTCGTAATGGGAAAGTGATAAGAGAGCATGTTCGTGAGAGAGCTGCAGAGTCCAGGACGCGGCCGCGCGGGAGCAGAGATGCTGATTCACCTGACTCTGCAATCGATAAGCCCTGTATACGATATTGAAGAGTATGGAACGCTGTTTCCAAATCTGCCTTTATTGTTTGCGAAATGTTTGTGGAGGAGGGATTATGAGCGTTTATTGAAACAAAGACCTGAATGTGCATCAATTGCTAGAACCTTACTAGCTCTCAGGCTCCCGCCAGAGTGCCGAAGCCATGCCAGCGCTACGCCAGCGCCGAGCCAGCGTTTCCATCGATTGATGTGTATTTCGTTGGGGCGGGGCTAGCTGACCTAGTTCTCAGTCAGGACCCCGCCCTAACGAAATACACGTGTATCGATCGAAACGCTGGCTCGGCGCTGGCGTAGCGCTGGCATGGCTTCGGTACTCTGGCGGGAGCCTCAAGTAAGGCAACCAAATATTACTTATTTTAAGAAGTTTTATCATAGAAGATTCACTGGATAAAGTGCTCTGGTAATTAGCCCGCCCCATCAAAGCGCAAGGATTAATGTTATGACCATCATTCCTCTTACACATTCAATTTTTTCCAATAAACGCCCATTAGTCTTCGTCCATGAACGTTCCGCATATCAGGTAGGCGCTTTGGAATCAGCGTTTTATGCCCTCCATTGTGGTATACATCCCATCTGAAAAGGTCACTTGGACTAAACATGCTTCCTTTGTTATAGGCCGTCCGCGCCGTGCTCGGAGAGCAACGCTGTTGCGTCCATCGAAGATGGTTCATAACTGGAAGAGGTGTGCAGAGAAAACAAGCAGCGACAATACATACCCTGCGCACTCTCCGCGCCCTGCGCGGACGGCCTATGTTCCACATAATCTGCTCGATCCACTTGGCTGCACGTCAGGAGGTACGACGCGTTCAAATCTTGGGACTCAGAAAACTCCCCGCTGTTAGAGATTTTCGGCGGCAAAAACAGGAGTGTGAATGGGACATATACACGACTCTATGCCATAAGCAACATAGCGCCAGGAGTGCTGCTGTTGTGTACCGTCTGCACCCCAGAGAGGTTCCCATGTGAACCAGCGTGCGTACGTGGTGCGACGCTGCCTTCCGCTCTTTTTGACACGTTTTTCCTGAGATTTCAACGGAAGTGCCCGAGGTTAACACGTTCAAAAGTGCGAAAGGCAGCGAGATGACGTGGTACTTATGGGAACCTCTCTGGGGCGCAGACGATAGCTTGAAGTACGTCGCAGCGATTTCGCGAAAAAGTCGCGCCGATCGTTCCTCCTGACAGTTCCCCTATCCATTTGGCTGTTGCAAATCAGTGAACCGAGCGATAGAGAAGCGAAAGTTCACTTGATCCGCTTCGCTCTCAGTCAGTTTAAAGGCAGCGTCCAGGCAGATCTCGACCTATGGGGCTTTTACGTGGAAAGTACTTTTGGGCCCTAACTAAGGCACTGCCCAAGCGGCAGCTCATGTAGTGCTCTAATGGCTGAGATATTGCCCTCGAAACTGGCCCCCGCGAACGTATTCGCATGGATTCATGGCAGTTTCGCGCCAGGATCCACGCTTTGCGCCATGAATCCATGCGAAACACGGTCGCGGGGTCCAGTTTCGAGGGGAATATCTCAGCCGTTAGGGCACTACCTGAGCTGCCGGCTGGGGAGTGGCTTAGTTAGGGCCCCAAAAGTACTTTCCACGTAAAATCCCCATAGGTCCAGACTTGCCTGGACGCTGCCTTTAATCCAACATATAGCGAACCGATGAAGTGCAAATAGATTGAGTGTGGCGCACGCTTACCATGTAAGCAAAGCGCTGCTGATCTGGCAAGAGAGGTTTTATTGAAGTGGTCTTTCCAACTAACTTTTCGAAAGCTTTGAAAGCTGGTTTCAAATCCGTTTTCATTATCTGCCGAGCATTTGACCCCGAGTTATGAGGTTTTTTGTGTTGAAAATGAACGCGCAAGGCAAACAAACTGGTTCAGAATTTCTAGGCCACTGTTAAAGGCAAGTTTTCTATGCAATGATTTTTGTTCAACATACTCATACTCAACATTGTTCTATGTGAGAGTCGAAGAGATTGTAAAATAGATTTCTAGATTCCATATGCATTTTTTGTTTAACACATTCACGACAATACGACCCACCGGTGGGTCGTACGTGTTCTGCCATTTCGGACAATACGACCCACCGGTGGGTCGTATGCTTTCCGAAGTTTTTGGTTTTGTTAGTTCACGGTGAAACTTTTTAGGCGAACCGAGTAAACTTGTGCATACATTTCTTCGAGTACTTCCTAAAAGATTGACACTTCAGACTATAGGGTCCATCAGTGACCTGAAAATATTAATCAAACTCAATTTTGCGAAATATGCTCTGGTCCGAAATGGCAGTCATCGAAAAATCGGCCCTGTCGTGAATGTGTTAAGAAAAAAAAACAGGACACGACATTCGCTCAGGGACTCGCGCCGTGCGGGCGGCCAGCGACGACCTTACAATCGCTCGTTGGTATGTGCGATTGTACGGTCGTCGAGGGCCGTCGGCACGGTTAACGTGGGGCGCCCGCACAGTTTCTGATGCTCGCCGCTTGCGCGGGGAAGGTCGGCCGCTCGCTTGCTGTTGGAGTAAATTCATGTGGTATATCTTGACCATTTTTCTTGGATATGTTGGTCCTTCTCACATTGTGGGAATATGGATCGATGCCTGCGGCATTGCCCAGATTTTTCATGGGGAAGCCCACAACATCATTCTTGATAACTGTAGCCTCACACAGGTTCATTCCAGCTTTGCTGGTGAAGAAAAGCGTTGATAACACGACATGTCAATGCTTAGCCAGCCTAAACGCTGCGTCGTATCTCACGCAGGTACCTTTCACGCTCGCAATGTGTGAAAATAGTGAGCAAAAGATTGAGGTCACTGATGGCCGCTTGCACGGCAACAGGTATTGCCGATCGATAAAACGGACACATTGCTGGCCGCTCGCTCGAGCAAATGTATTGCCGGTCGTTTGCACGGTAACATTGCCTGCCGCTAGGACGGCGCTTCAGCTGCTGGCCGCACGCACGGAAGCTTTAGGCTTATGTCGACCGCTTGTACGCTAGCCCTTATAAGAGGACCGCTCGCACGGCGCGAATCCCTGCAGAGAGGCTCAGCACTTAATGAAGACAGATTTGGAAATGATGTTCTATGCTGTTCAAAACCGTACAGAATTCAACTGGGAGGTCATTCAGACCAGTACTTTCCTCTAAGAGAACGCACCTCGAACTGAACTCTGTCAAGCGAATTTCCCTTTGTGCTATTTGCAAGTTGCTTCTCAGTTCTTTCCACTTGATCGCGACTGATATGAGAGAGTTCGCGTGTGTTCGTTGCTTTTGACGCTTCAGCTCCCATTGCTAGCTAACTCAATTTCAACATTCATCACATAAATTTCTGCTCGGGATATATAGAAGTGAGCGAGCTACCATACCATAACAGGAACAGGTGACTAAGCGATTACTTTATCGACAATAAGTGCATAGTCGGCAAAAAAAAACCAAAACACGTAGGTTCATGTGGCTGAGAGTACTGTAACGTTGAGTAATCAGCTGCTGAAATCATTACTCGAGTGAAGTGCATTGCACCTTTTTTGGACTATTTAGACTTCACAGCAATTAACTTAAGGTTGCTGCTGTTCTATCTGATTCTGAGCCATAACGTCGGAGATATTCTTCTCCAAGTCATCGATACGCTTCGTCATGTCATCAATGCGACGGATGATCTGATCAGACATATGCTGGAATCGATCCTGTGTCTGCTGGAGAACGCCTTGAATCTGAAAGGGTAAAATGTATTACGCTTTCAGCTTTTACGTTGAGACAATCCATATTTACAAGCTGCATGTAACATGTATGCAGAGATGGTGTTGAGAAGTAACATGAAAACGCCGCCAAATCACATATTATTAACTTTCTGCGGTAATCATGTGAGACTAATATCATTTGAGATATTCTGTAACCAGGAGACTCAAAGACTCGAAACCGCTAGCATACATTGTCATAACAAGCTTAACGTGTGGTTGACAGGTTTGCATTTCTGCTCTGTCTAATCTAAATAGGGAAGGATATCAACATTAGTTGGCGATTGAAGATGAGTTGTATATCAACAGACGCGACTTCAGACGCTGATTCCATCCGCTTTCCTTTTTTGCGGAATAAGTTTCCGAAAGAAGTTGTGGGCGTCTGAATGTCCAAATTCGTCAAGGTTTGAATGGGTTAAAGTTGGCGAAAAGCTGTACAACAACGCCGAAAAGTGGGAAATCGTTTTTTATCGAGTATATTGTTTGCACGGAAGGAATAAAGCCGGTGGAAATCGCATAGGTATCAATTTAGAACTTTTCGCTAGTTTTAAGCCACTCAATGCTTGGCAAATTTGGACATTCAAACGCTCACAATTTCTTTCGGAGAGTCGTTCCGCAAAAAGGAAAGCAGATTTGGAATCAGCGTTCAAAGACGCGTCTACTGATATACATCTCATCTTCATCGCCGATTAATGTTGGTATTCCCGAAGATTATCCGCTACTTGGAAACTAGTACAAGCCTGTTTGAACGATCTGTGCATGGCTTTCGAGTCTCTTAGGTCCGTATGCACGTACATCCCAGCTGGGGAGGAAAGGGGATCTGAGAGGGACCCGTTATATTTTATACTAAATGCGCCGATATAATCGGCACCTCCCTTTGTAGCCTCATTGTGAGTTGCCAGAGTGCCGTTAAGGTCATGCACAGGGTTGAGCAAGAGGTCAGGCACTAGTCCTTCAAAAACGACCCCCCCCCCCACCCTTTGAAAGCCCCTAAAATGACCCCTCCACTTCAACTCCACGACCTTAGACTGTGTTATGTTGAAGAAGACCAGCCTTTACTGGAGGGTTCTTGTTTTTTGGCAGCAGGCCCAACTTTCTGCGATTGCACAACCACACGCAACTTGACGGCGAGTTTTGAACTTGAATAGCCCTCTTTTCAGAGTTATAGTTTTTGCAGGGGTGAAGTGTTTGGCTCCAGATTTTCAATATAGCAAAAAGAGGCTTTGCTCTCAATACATGTACTAAAAAAGGAGCGATTTTTGAATATTGAAGGTAAGTTAAGGGGGTCAGGCGCAACCCCTCAAAAGCTCAGGCGGCCTGACCTTTTGAGGGGTTGCGCCTGACCCCATTAACTTTATTTTCGAGGAAGCTTTTCTATCCAAGTTTTACGTGATTCGCTAGCACAACTCTCCTAGATTCCACACTAAGTGTTTGAGCTTGTTTCAACTTATTTCGGCCTTGTAGTAATCCGTAGAGTTAAAGCACTTAATGTGAAGAATGCGCCGGTTGGAAATTTGGCAGCACTTCTTACTTCACTATTTGAAAATGATATGAAGCCTGATTTCTAGCATAGACTTGTAGGGAAAACGATACTTTGTTACGAGTTTAAAAAAGCTGACTATTTTCACTTTTGAAGCCAAGTTAATCATGCTTGAAAATCACGCTTTCTAGACGTTGCGAAACACTAGGAAATGCGGTAGGTAATGACTTCAGAGCTCATAGAGGTAATCTGACATGCTGATTACGGAAATAATACCCATTTTACACAGCAAGCTTACTTGGCGACCTCATGATGTGTGAAGGTAAAAGATGAAGACTTGAATTTGGCTGAAATTTCGATTGTGTAAACAATCGGTATGCTGTTCACGACCGTCATTCCTTCAGTACTGGTGATTGTGATATCCACCGGACTAGCGCTTTCTTCTTCACCTTCGTAGTATCTCCCCAACTGAACGGATTTGGTTCTTAATTCACCCCCCCCCTCAGTCATACCCCAAGACGACCCCCCAGATCGGGCGCGCCTGACCTCACGCTCAGCCCTGGTCATGCATAAGCATGACCTGCTGTGATACAGGTATCTTTATTGCCCAGATGTTGTCGAGTAACTTTGGAACGCCTATTCATGTCAGCATTCTATCACAGCACCCACGAGTGCAGGTCGCCTATTCATAAAGCTTATTGGCTATTGTGTTCTAAATAACACCTACCAGGCGCTATTTCGCCTAAGGCTACTATAAGGCCTACGAACCACCGATTCACATATTGCATCAGCCAAATAAGACCGATAAAGTGCTTCGCTTCTGACAGCAGCACTCGAGGAACGATGAAGATCTCGCCCTTCCTCAAATGACAACAAACACTCTCTACCAAGGAGCTCGCAGAACAACTGAAAAAGTACGCGTGCCACAGAGAGAAAATCGTTATTCCTGATGACAATCAAAAGCGGCAAGATTTACGCGCTCAACATCTGGAGTTACTAGCAAGGTGCAAAATGGAAGTTCAAGATACCATGGAATCGCTACAAATGGATTACGACATATTGATGGAAGGATGAGAGGAAGTTGAGTCTGAAGCTGCCAAGAATTCAATGGCGGAGGAATGGGACGCGTTGGAAGAAGAGATAAGATTTTTTGAAACCATTTTTGACGCTAAAAGGTTTCTATATCTCTTGCAAAACCGCATGACAAATGACATGCTAGAGTTAGCGAAACTAGGAAGCTTGAAGAAATTTTTGAACCCAAAGCTCAAAAGTTGCATGGAAGATTCGAAAAGGTGCATGAGGCAGTTGAGAGAAGATATACAAAAGACGAAATTATCTATCGATGACTCACAATCCGTCCAAGTCAAACAGCAGCAGAATCCCGAAGAAGCACAAATTCTCCCGTTAGAAGAAATGAAAGATGAAATCAAGGAAGTGATATCCAAAGAAGACTCCTTTGGATTGGAACAGAAGACGGGAACTGACAATGATCGATGCTCTCTGGAGTACAAGTCCTTTCCCACTACTGATACTCTTTTGCAGGGGCAGGTCATGGCGCCTATGGTGCCACGAGCAGAGTTTGCGACAGCTGGTTTCAAAGCTGCTCTTCCACTACCTACAGCCTTTCGCTATCGCCTCTGGTCAAGAATACTGAACATCCACTCTGCAGACGTTACTCGTTCTACTAAATCCCGCTACTCGATCCAGATAAATGGAAGCAGTTTGATAATAGACTAGATTCCTGATTTGTATCCATCCTTCTACATTGCTCGCTCTCATGGCCGGCCGGAGTGTGCCGATAAGTCGGCACCTTCTTTGTTGTACCATATCTGCTGTCAAAGTACCGTAAGGGTCATGCCATAACCATGACCTGCTGTGATAGTCTGTCATGTTACTCTACCACCCTATTATCCTCAGCATTCTACCACTGTCCCAATGCGGACAAGTCGTCTGATTCAATAAATCTGCCAGGCTAGTGTATTGTCCACACCTGCAGATATTCCTACCAAGGCGACAATTACGCCTACGGCTACGTCAACGTATACGTCAGCCAATATATTTCTGGTGCATCGCCTAAAACCAGACCGATACCATGCGCTCCCAAGGACAAAACAGAAGCCACAATGGAATGACCACTCTGCATCTCCAGATGGAAGTTGTGAAGAGATACGCCAAGAGACTCGCGGAACTACTACGAAAGTACGCGAGCCATGGTGAGAGAATTATGCTTCCAGACGATGAAGAGGAGCGACAAAAAGTATGCGTTGACAAACCGTACGTAATACCAGCCTGCATCTTCGACATCATCCTGGGCTTACAACTGGTACGATCGAAAAGCGACGTGCTAAAGAAGTTGTACGAGAGCGAGAAATGCAAACTTACGAAGCAGCTGGTGGCAGAAGATTTGGATTTGTTCAACAAAGAGATAAGTCACTTTCAAATTGCTGCTGATGTCCAAATTTTTATCTACACACTAGAAGAGCGCGAAACTGATGCAAAGATAGAAGTGGAGAACATAGAACGCAGAAATTTGCCGCAATGAGATGTGAAACTAGCAATAAGCAAATGTTGCCCAGAGATCAATCGGGCAACAAATTTTTAGCAGAACTAGACGATTCTGTCTCAACCGACGATGAAAGAAGGAATTCCAACGATTGAAGATGAAAACGAAAGTGAAGATTGCAAAGACGAAACTCCCAACTGCAAATTCTCGGCCTGTGGAGATCCCATGCATAACAACATAGCAGCATGTGAAGGTATTGCCAGCCCAGACCTGACACAGGTCACGACGCGTAAGGCAACTGCTCGAAAGATGGTCAGCAAAATACAATTACCCTAATTTCACGCGTACAAGGCGCGGGGTGGTCCTAGCTTTCATTGAGCTGCTCAGCCGCCCCAACGTGTTTTAAGAAGCAATCCTTATGCCGCACGATTCGGCAGGCAAAACGCAGCACGGTATGGGGTTCCTTTGGTTGCGAAGTCCTTTGCCGTGTTCGGGCTGGTCGATGAAAGCTAGGACCACCCCGCGCCTTGTACGCGTGAAATTAGGGTACAACAAAACGATCTCAGCTGCACCGATATGGAGGAAGCAATGCTGGACCTCTATTATTTTTCATCTCCAGTTGAAGACGTTAATGTGGATTTACAGTATCAGCATCCAGCTTCCACATCAAGTTCTCCACAAGATCGTGCTCTCCATTGTACCACCTCTAACATGGGCCACATTTTCACCTGTCTGACTCGACAACGTCCACTGCGATATCCAGACAAAAAAGTAGCTTTGATATATCTACAGTTATACGCTTTCGCTGTTCATTTCTCCCGTTGGCCGAAGTGTGCCGACATTGTCGGCACTTCCTCACAGCCGTGCCATTCCATTGCCAAATTATCGTTAAAGGCAGCGGCTCGGCAGATTTTGCATTTCCATCTTTTTGCATGTTTTGGGCCTTCTCGACCCGTAGATCCCGAATCTGAGCTTTAAAATCGGTGAAAAGGCCTTTTTCGGGGCGTTTTTTTCAATTTCCGAAAGGCAGTTCGGACGAGAATTTTCAGGAAAGTCGGGAGGCCCTGGCACGAAGACCCTGCGCCTGTAATTTTGGCTTTGTATAGCATGCACAAGCAGGCGCCATACTTAATCCACTTGATCCGCTTGATCCACTTGATCCGCTTCATCATTGGTCAATTCAGTGAATTGACCAATAGTGGAATGGATGAAGCGGATCAAGTATGGCGCGTGCCACAATGCGGGAAAGCGGTTGGAGGGTCCCGCGCCGTCTAGCGGAGAATACTCGTCCGAACAAGGTGTTAGGGGAGCGAAAGGAGGAAGGGGAGCGGCGCTTGGGCCGCCCCCCCCCTGGCTTGCAAAGTTCACATTTTCGGCGCGGAGTTGCTGTTTTGGTTCACTTGGAGGGCCTCCTATCCATCTGTGTCAAAATCTGAGGTATGTTAATCTGCCGAGCCGTTGCCTTTAAGGTCATGCCATAAGCATGACCTGCTGTGATATTAGTGTGTTTATTGCCCAGATGTACGTCAAGTTACTTTGCTCCGCCTGTTATCGTTAGCATTCTACCACTGTCCCAATGCGGACAAGTCGTCTGACTCAATAAATCTGCTAGGCTAGTGTATTGTCCACACCTGCAGATATTCCTACCAAGGCGACAACTACGCCTGCGGCTACGTCAACGTATACGTCAGCCAATATACTACATATCTGTACTCTTCTTTTTTACCTGTTTTACAAAGGTTTTTATACCCTGATACTTGAGTACGTCCAGTCAACGTGTTAGCTAATCTCGGGACTTGACTCTACCCTTCTTATTTGTCTTGTACTGACATAACAGTTCTGACTAGATCTTTATCTGTATATCACAGTTGGTGGAAAGTGGGGGGAACATAATTGGGGAGGGGGCCACCAAGCACCCGGAAGTGCCAGCTCATCTAAGAGCCGCATGCTAACATCCCTGCGGCGAGGGGAGCGGCATCCCCCATTATGAAGGGGTCGCGTGCGGACGCCGCTACGACTTTTACATCATTGGGGACGTCGCCCCCCTCGCCGCAGGGATGTTAGTGCATTCGGGCCTAAATTTTGTGGCACCGCCCAGTCGGCGAGGGAACTGTCAAACTCGTATTAGTCTGCGTCTTGGACGAATGGCATAAAATTGCCATACAAGCTAAAATTTTACTGTTTTGTGTGATACCCAGGAGATCTTGTTTTCAAACTCGTCCATCTTTCCATGAAGTCGATGAAGACGTCATGAAGTTGTGCGGAGGATCTACTATGGCACTGCTATGGATGTTTTCGAAAACAACTGGATTGTGCAGATCGTGGGTTTTTCGATGAGCCTCATCTTACAAACAGCGGTTCATCAATATCTAAATATCCTAAAATTTCACTAATTTCCACTATAAAAATGTTTGACAGTGCCATAGTATACCCTGGGTAGAATTTCAAGCTTTTCCATCGAGAGATGATAAATAACTTTGAAAATGAAGGGAATCCCCTGGGTATCCCTTAGCAAATTATACGAAACAGTGAACATGCTTTGTATGGCAATATTCTGCCATCCATTATAGTCAAATATTAGGGTATGTGAGCCTTCATAAGATAGACGGAAAAGAACAATACCAGGTACAGGGCTTATCTGTTACAGTGTCGGGTACACCAGCATCCCCACTCCCGCGCGGGACTCTGCATCTTTTCCGCGAACATGCTGATCATTATCAATCGATTGGGACTCCGCCTTTTGTACGCTCACTGTGAGAGAGTAATCAGAAGGCATGCTCGCGAAAGAGATGCTGAGTCCAGGCGAAGTGCTCGCGCGGGAGCGGAGATGCTGGTGCACCCAACACTGCAGTTCATAAGCCCTGTACCTGACAAAATAAGTTTGCTTAGTCGAAGCGGCGATTCGGAAGGAGATCTATACCAATGGATAGAGCTTAAAACGCTGATCTCAGATGTGCCTTCTATATCTGCGACGCGTTGTTCTGAAAAAAGTTATGAGCTTTTCTATAGCCAAATTTTCGGGCATTTTGAATCGCAAAATCATGATAATTTCTGCACAAAAGTGTGCAAGCTTATGCAAACCACCTAGTAAGCACTGTAGGTCTAATTCAAGTTCATCCGAACGTTTTCAAGTGTTTTCCAACCATGTTGTTTATTCACAGGTCGCCATTTCCTTCCTAGATCACACTTCCATTATGTACACAAAAAAGCCCATAACCTTCATCTAGAAAAACGCGTCGCAAATATATTGAAGACATATTCAAAAACATCGTTTCACGTTTCATCCATTGGTAACTTCCAAAAAGTTTCCGACGCGACGCGTTTTTCTAGATGAAGGTTACTTTTTTGTATACATAATGAAAGTGTGATCTAGGAATGAAGTGACGACCTGTGGATGAACAACATGGTCGAAAAACACTCGAAAGCGTTCGGATGAACTCGACTTAGACCTGCAATGCTTACTAAGTGGTTTGCTCAAGCTTGC